GCCCTAGCTCAGTTCTTTAAGTGGCTGCTTCCACAATGCTGGCAGCCTCAGTTTGCTGTAGTTCGATCCCCACAACACTCCAGCCATGCAAAAGTGCCCTGAAGGCATTCAAGGAGCAAAACACACACACACACAAAAAAAAAATTCCTTAAGAGTAAATTTAGGGGCTGGGGAGATGGCTCAGTGGAATAAGCGCTTCCCTGGCAAGCTCAAGGGCCTGAGTTCAATCCCCGGTTCTGCAAAAAAAAGAGTAAATTTTTTTAAAAAGTAAATTAAAAAGGAAAAAAAAAGGCCAGCCAGATAGCTCAGTGGATTAAAGCATCTGCTTAGGAAGACACAGGGACCAGGGGTTCAATCCCCAGGATGCCATGCCAGGGCTCCCCCCCAAGTGGCACCGAGACACAAATGAGACTGGGCTTGGTGGCACATACCTGTAATCCCAGCACTTAGGAGGCTAAAAAACAGGAAGGCTCACTGTAAATCCAATCTGTGTAGTGAGACCCTGAAGACCCTGTACTAAGTAAATAAAAAATAAAATATAATTTTTAAAAAAGATAATGAGTCGGGGACGGGGAGATGGCTCAGTGGAATAAGCACTTCCCTGGCAAGCACAAGGGCCTGAGTTCGATCCCCAGTTCTGCCAAAAAAAAAAAAAAAAAGATAATGAGTCTCATTTCTCTGAATCTCTATTTCACCATTGAGTGTGCATTTTTAAAATTATGCCAAAAAAAAAAAAATTATGCCAAATAAAGCCAGGCATGGTGGTGTACACCTATAATCCCAAGCACTTGCAAGGCTGAGGCAGGATTGGATTACCACAATTCAAGGTCAATTTGAATACAAGGTGAGTACAAGCCCAGCCTGAACCACATAGTAAGTGTATGTGCTGCCGAAGTGAGCACTGAACCACATAGTAAGACGCTGTCTTTATAAAAAAAAAAAAGTCTGCCTAAGAAATCCTTACCAGGAGCCAGGAAGATGGCTCAGTGGAATAAGCGCTTCCCTGGCAAGTGCAAGGGCCTGAGTTCAATCCCTGGTTCCACCAAAAAAAAAAAAAAAAAAAAAGACAGAAATCCTTACCAGCCTCTTACTCACCAGTCCTAAAAATTCTTTTCCTGTGCCAGGAATCAGACAACCTTAGCACTCTGAAGGTTGAGGCAGAAGGATCTCCAGTTCAGGGATCTCAAGTTACACAGCAAGTCTGATGCCAGCCTGTGCTACATGGAGAGACCCTGTCACAAACAAAGCAAAAAATAAATGGGGCCAGGGAGATGGCTCAGTAGAATAAGTGGTTCCCTGGCAAGCATAAGGGTCTAAATTCAATCCCTGGTTCCACAAAAAAATAAATAAATAAATAAATAAATAAATATAATAAAAAAGGGGCCAGGGAGATGGCTCAGTAGAATAAGCACTTCCTTGGCAAGCGTAAGGGTCTGAGTTCAATCCCTGGTTCCACCAAAAAACAAACAAACAAACAAAACAAAACAAAGAAACAAAAAGCCAGGTGTGGTGAGGCACATCTGAAATTCCAAGCAAATGGTAAGCTGAGGTAGGAAAATTATAAATTCAAGGCCATCCTGGCCTATACAGCAAGTTTAGGATCAGCCTGCATGATACAACAAGCTGACGCAAAAAAAAAAAAAAAAAAAAAAAATTTTAAAAAAGAAAAAAAAAAAAGTTGGGGGAGCTATTTGTAGGAGCTAAAACTGTACAATTCCAAACAGCAGTAAGTATGAGGACGAGGATAGTGCTCTGTGGCAGTGCCTGCCTGGCAAGCAAAAGATCCTGAGTTCAATTCCTGGTAGAAAGCAAGAGAGAGAGAGAAAGAGACAGAGAGAAAGAGACAGAGAGACAGAGAGAGGGAGGGAGGGAGGGAGGGGGAGAAGAAGATAGGGAGGGTGGAAAGAAGAGAGGGAGGAAGAGAGGGGGAGAGGGAGAGGAAGATAGAGAGGGAGAGAGGGAGGGAGGATGAAAAATCTTTATAACTTCTAGCTAAGCAACAGTTTGTCAGATATGATAGGACAAATCTAAGTAAGAAAGAACAAGAGAAAAAAAAAACAAAGAAATTGGACATCATAAAAATTATGTCTGGTCAAGTAAGGTAGTACACACCCGTAATACCAGCACTCTGGGAGGCTGAAGCAAGAGGATAGCAAAGATAAACCCAACATGCGCAACTTAGCAATACAGTAAGACCCTATGTCAAAAGAATAAAAAGGGTGTGAATGTGGCTCAGTTCAAACACTATGCTTACAAACTCCAGTGCAACAGTGTAAGTAATAATAGTAACATCTGTACACTCCAAAAAAGGACATCAGACAATGAAAAAGACAACCCAGAAACTACTAGTATTTACAAAGATATCTGATAAGGAACTATGTCTAAAGCATATATTATGAAAAGAAATACAATCCAATTAAGAAATGACCCAAAACGGGATGCAGCTCAGTGGCAAAGCATTTATCTAGCACGCACAAAACCTAAGTTCAGTCCCCAGAGCACATACACACACACCACAGGCACACACACAAGCAAGCAAAAAGTTCGCTTTTGCCCAGCATGAGTGTGCATACAATCCCAGCCCTTAGGAGGCTGTGAGAAGGGGATCATGCATGAGCTCAAGACCATCTCAGGGCCTGGGAGATAACTCAGTAGAATAAGCGCTTGCCTGGCAAGCCCAAAGGCCTGAGTTCAATCCCCAGTTCCACCAAAAAAAAAAAAAAAAACATCTGGGCTGCATAATGAAATTTGGTTTCAAAATAAGACAAAACAAAATGAGATAGCCACTGTAGAAAACAGTTTGGCAGTTCCTTATCAAGTTAAACACAGAGCTGCACCACGGATAATCCCAGTGTTCTAGGACAGGGGCTCCAACCAAGACCAGGGCCACAGAGGAGTTAAGTTGCAGGCAACTGAAGCTTCTTCTGGACTTTCAGCTACTCCCAATTGACCACATTACCACCTGAGCTCCACCTCCTATCAGATCAGCAGCAGGTTTAGAGTCTTACAGGTATTCCACTGTCAACTTCACGGGAGGAATCTAGTTTGTACACTCCCTATGATTCTAAGCCCTGACGATTTGAGGTGGAAATGGAGGCTGTGATGCTAGTGATGGTTACAAGCTGCAAATACAGATTCACATTAGCAAGAGGCTTGCTTGTTTGTATTTTTGGAGTTCTGAATGGCCTTGAACCCATATGTAGCTTAGGCTGCACTACACTTGTGGCAATTCCCCTGCCTCAGCCTCCCAAGTGGAGGGATTACAGGCATGTGCCACAATGACCAGTTAGTCAAGAGGTTGGATTGCACAGAACAAAGTAAAGCACTTGCAGATTCATATCAAAATGTAGTCAGTGAACAGCAAGTGACAATTAAGCTGCACCTGGTGGCAGGCTTTATAGTGGCCTGTAAGTGAATATACTTCAATTGTACAGCTGCATCTGGAAGCAGGCCTTGCATCAGTTTCTGACACTTATTTTAGTCCACTTGTGGCCCCTCTATACTTAACACTTCTATTAGTGCCTCTTTTCTGCCCTGTGTACTTGTCTCAGTCACAAATTCAAAGGTCACAAATTAACCCTGGCCACAACGAGTAAAAAACAAATATCACAGGAGAACTTCTTTAAGAAGGAGGAAAGGTCCATGATGAGACAACTGAAGGCTCTAAAATTGCCAGCGAAAAGAAAACTGCCAGGAATGGTGGTACACACTTGAAATCCTAGCACTTGGAGGGCTGGGGCAGCAGGATCGCTGTGAGTTCAAGGCCAGCCCAGGCCTCACAGTGATTTCAAAACCAGACCAGACTACATTGCAAGGTCCTGTCTCAAATAACCAAAGCAACAACAAAAGGTTAAAAACAGCTCTAAAGGGGCTGGAGAGATGGCTCAGTGGTCTAAAGCACCTACTTAAACAAGCTTGGCAAAGCACAGGGACCGCGGTTCGATCCCCCAGCAGCACATGCCAGCCAGCCCCGCCCCCTGGTGGGCTGAGCTGGCCACACACACACACAATAAATAAATGTAATAAATAAAAATAAATAATTTAAAAAAAAAAACAGCTCTAAATGTTTACCTCTAAACTTACTGTTGTCTCCTTTTTTTTTTTTTTTTTTGAGACAGGGTCTCACTATGTACTTCAGGCTGGCCTTGAGCATACTACAATGTCCTGCTTCAGCCTCTTGAGTACTGGGATTTTTTTTTTTTTTAACTGTCTTTTCAAGTCGTTAAAGTTGACGTTTAAATAAAATGGAACAGTGGTGAGAAGGTACAAAGTAGCACATTAATCATTCATTCCTTAATATTATTTTCTACATCAATTTTTTATTTTTTGGAGCTAGGATCCCACGTATAGCCTAGATCAGCTTTGAATTTACTATGCATCCCTGACTGGCCTTAATGCTGTAATCCTCCTGCCTCGGCTTCCACAACACCCAATTCAAACATTTTTACACATGAAGCCATTTTAATGTAAGAGGAAAAAAAAAATCCTACTTCAAACAAACTCATAGCAAAGATTCTCTATCAGGATCATGGCGTGTAGGAGAAGATCAATATATTGAAATTACATTGTTGGCTGTTTGGGGACAAAAACAAATAATAAGAAGCAACAGGGCCAGGGAGATGGCTCAGTGGAATAAGCGCTTCACTGGCAAGCGCAAAGGCCTAAGTTCAATCCCTGGTTCTGGAAAAAAAAAAAGCAGCAACAAATATATCCCCTATTCTGAACTGCTCTGATGTTCTCATACAAAATTTTTTGTTGTTTGGGTTATTTTGATTTTTGAGACAGGACCTTGCTTTAAGTGACCCTTCTGCCTCAGCCTCCCAAATGCTGGGATTCCAGGAACGCACAGCCAAGCCAAGACCACCACTGCCTCTTTTATCTTGCATTACTTTCAAACTCCAGAATCATCCCATGAGTGTCCTAAGCTTTTCTGCTGCAACAATCTTCTGTAACTAACTTTTTCTGAACAATTCATGATGCTGTAAACCAAAAAGACTTACCAAGATTGGAGAATCCTTCCTGAAGAGCCCATAGCCGAGCCCAAGGGGCAGGAACAGGTTCCTCGGGTTCTTGGTCCTCAGGAATAGAACAGAGTTCCTGAGTAGATACTGTCTCTAAGGAGCTCTGCGTCCCAGAGCTGGACTGAGAGGACTGGCTGGAGGTGGGCACTGTGCTGGTGGAGGAGCTGGATGTGGTTGGGGACTGAGACAAGGACCTGTGAGACTGTGAAGTGAGCCCAGGGGACTGGGAGAAATTGCCTCTGGACTGGGTGGAGCCCCCTTGGGTCTGTGAACTGGTACCACTGCTGTGGGCCTGTGAGCAGGCACTGCTGCAGGACTGCTGACTCCCTGGTTCGGGCTCCATAGACATCGCAACCTCAAAAAAGTGTCCAACTAGAAGGTCAATTTCAAAGATTAAAACTTATCCCAAGAGTTTCAAGTTCAAGAGTGAAAAAGTGGGCACATTATCAAGGCAGGAAAAAGAAAAAAGAAAAAAAAAAAAAGGCCAGACCAGGTTTGGGGGGCATACACCTGTAAGCTCAGCACTTAAAAAACTCAAGAAACTGAGGCAGGAGGATCACCATGAGTTAAGAGGCCATCCTGGGGTACACAGTGAGTTCAAGGGCAGCCTGTACTCCATAATGAGACCATCACAAAAGAATCAAAATAAGAAAAAAAAAAAAAAAAAAAAAGAGAGAGAGAGAGAAAGAAAAAAAAGAAATTCAGGGCAAGCATGTTCTGCAAATCCTAACAGCCAAGCACATTTGTAATCCTAGCTAGTCAGAAGCCTGACCCAGAAGGACTCAAAGTTCTGAGCCAATGTAGGTGATTTAGGGGGGTCCTTGTTTTTAAAATAAAAAATACAAAGGGTAAGGCTGTAGCACTTGCCTAATGTGAGCAAGTCACTATGGTTGTTTTTGGTTTTGGTTTTTTGGGGTTTTTTTGCAGAACTGGAGATTAACTCAGACCCTTGTGCTCTCCAGGGAAGCACTTAGTCTACTGAGCCATGTCCCCGGCCCCAATATGGTTGTTTTGGGCTGTACTATTTTTTTTTCTTTTTGGTGGTGGTACCAGGAATCAAACTCAGGACCTCACATTTGTCAGGCAGGACCACCGAACTAAATCCCCAACTCCTGGGCTGAACTTTGCATAAGAGCACTTTCAGTGGATCAGGCTGTTGTCTGTCAGACATATAACACTGAAAAAAATAAATAAATAACATTATTGGAATTATTCAAGGGCCACAAGTAGGTAAACAGCAAAACCCTGCCTCTAAAAAACCAAGAAGCAATGAAATTAACTGATACTCGGAAAGCCTTCAATGCATAAAATTTCTTAAATTGTAAATGAAACAAACTTTAATCAACACTACACTTAAATTTCATGCACATTTTGAGGAAAAAAAAAGGCAAGTGTCAAGTGACCGGGTATAGAAGACAACAAAAAAGAAACTATATAGTAACTTCCTTTGTCACTTCAAGAGGACCATTTGCACAAAATATTGATACTCCTACCCCTGGGCTTCTCCAGAAAGGCAGAAACTACGTTCATCTAGATACCCTGACATCCACTAAGTCCACTTAATGAGGCCGAACACAAAGGCCGAACAAAAAAACTCCAATCAGCCGTTTGCTAAGTGGGAGCTATGGAGGGAAAAAACGTGAACACAGTAAAACTCCAGGATCCCAATTATGAAGGATCTACAAGGCCTTACAAGTGCCACACAATCTTTCTATTAAATAGTGAAACCTGAAGCAGGACATGGTGGAACATGTGGCAAGAGGCAGGGGGATCACCATGAATTTGAAGCCAGCCCAGGCTACACACAAAGTTCAAAGCCAGCTTGAACTACATAGCCATACCCGTCAAAAACAAAAACCAGTGCAAACTGGAGTCCCAAGGAAGGCTGGTGCCCTCTTATCGTCTCCTCGATACCCTACCCCACACACTTACTTATGGGCACCAGCACGACATCCTACACACATCAGCACGTTTTCAGTTCAGCCTAGCGGATAAAAATGGGTTCAAAAATTGAATCTAAAGACTGATCAAAATTATTAAAATTTACGTAATTCTTTACAAAGTGACATCACTCTGGTATGGAGGAAAACAACCCTATTCCTTCTCATCCTGCACCTCCAGGCCTGTTTCAAGTTCAAAGTAACAAAAAGTCAATTTCATCGCGAAGATCATCTACAAAAGAAGTCACCCAGGCACTCTCACTTCCACCTCAAAAATCCAGCCAAAACGGAAGCTAAAGAGATTACACTTGCATAAACCTTGACGACGGGACTGGAACCTTCACATCACCCAAGACAAATTTCCCACTATGACTCACCGCACGAGCCCACCAGGAGCCACAGGCTCCCCACTGTACCGGGCAGCAGCGTGGCGCTAAATCTGTAGCTACAAACTCCACCCTCAGCCAATCAGAAGGCCCTCTACCGCTGCCGGACCAATGAGAAGCAACGGATGTGACTAGCCCGCGTGACGCCAATGCTGTCTGGGAAATGTAGTTCAGATGGCACGGCGGGACTCAGCTACCTCGCGTCCCTCAAGTGACCACGCCCCCTTAGCGATCTCTCCAATCAGCCGCAATAGTCAGGTCGGCGGTCTCAGCTTCTACCCCAACAGGTGACCGTGGTGAGATAAGCTGCGGCCCAGATGTGGGGCGGGAGAGCCGGGTCCTTGCTTCGGGGATGGGGTCGGCAGCTGACGGGGGCCCCCGGAAGGAGACTGCTAAATTGCCGCGCTGCCTCGCAGGCAGGAAACAGTGCGCCGCGGTGTTGGAAGTGCGGCGGCCCAAGGGGCCCTGCGCAGGGGGACGGGTTCTTCTGCCCGCAGTGCCGCGCGCTACAACCACCCGACGCTACTCGAGATTACTTCAGCCTCATGGACTGGTACGCGAGGAGTAGGGACCGGAACGACGTCGGGGGCTGGCCCGCGTGAGGGGAGGATGGGGGGCTGGGCCGCGCCTGGGCCGGTCAAGGGGCGGGGCCTGGGGGAGGGGCGTGATGAGGGCGGGGTGGGAATGGAGCGCTGGTGTAGAAGGAACGGAACTTGTGGGAAAGGGATGGAGACGACGCGGGGCGGAGCTCGAGGGAAGGGGTCCAGTCAAAAAAGCTTGATTTTAGTTGGAGACTTTGAAGAGACAAGTAGTGTACCGAAGCGGACACCACGATGAGGGACTTAGGGTTTAGCTCAGTGGCAGGGCGCAGGCATAGCTTGCAGGAGGCCCTGTTGTTCTGTCCACCGGAAGCAAATCTGAACAAAACAAGGCGGGCTTGGTGACGCAAGCCTAGTGATCCCGGCGCTCAGGAGGCTGAGGCAAGAGAGTCATTGATAGTTCGAGACCCACCTGGGTTAGGAAGAGTGCTCAAGGCTAGCTGAACTGCTTAGTGAGACCTCATCTCTGAAAGAATTTTTTAAAATTACATGCAGTATATGGGAGTAAAAGCACAAGCAAGGTTGTGGGCAAGGCCATAGAGAAAAATGGAGTCCAAGAAATGGAGATTTTTTTCCCCCTTTTTCACCCTGAAATTTGAGAAGCTTGGAAAGTGGAGAGAAAGTATAGGCAGAGCTAAACTGCTGAGGAAATAGGGCAAGCTTTGGGAGGAGCAAATGAAGGGGGTTAGGTTGAAATAAAACTGCCCATTTTCTCCCACCTCACGGTCTTTGCACTTGCAGTTCTCCAGCCTGATGGTCTTCTCCACGGTATTAACTGTTTTCCTTCCTAGGAGTTACCACATTTCTCATGTTGCCTGTTTATTACATCTTCCCCATAAAAACAGGAACTAGACCTGTAACCCTGTAAATATTTATCACATGAATTTCATCTCCCAATTCTCTTCTAGCAACCGCTCCTTCAGAATTGACACCACAAAGCTCCAGCATAGGTACCAGCAACTACAGCGTCTTGTCCACCCAGATTTGTTCAGCCAGAGATCTCAGGTATGGTATTGGCCACCTCGATAATACCCCAAACACGAATGCATACAGGGTAGTGGCAATGGCCTTGTGGCCATGTTATTATGAGGGATCGAGTTGAATAATGAGCTCCACCCTGTGACAGCCTGACCCCAACCAGCCTGGTCCTTGACATATCATCCACTTACAGCTTTTGTCTGACTTTCCAGACAGCTTAGAAAAATAAAGATGATTCATCTAACACTAGTCCTGTGTAGTTGGGCCACTTCCCTTGGGTACCTGCCCATCAGTATATTATAAATATTTGGGCACAGTGGTCCATGCCTGTTATCATAGCTGCTCAAGAGGCTGAGGTAGGGGAATCTTAAATTAGATGCTAGCCCGGCCAATTTAATGAGACCTCTTCTGAAAAAAGCTTGGAAGTAGTTCAGTGCTTTCCTAGCTCAATACTTAGTACCACAAATAATAATAGTAAATAAAGCCAGGCTTGGTGGGACAAACATGTAATTGCAGAGCTCACGAGAGTGAGGTGAGAGGATCTTAAATTCAAAGCCAGCCTAGATTGCATAGGGAATATTAAACCAGCCTGGACTACAGAGCAAGACCCTAGTGTTTAGTTCAGGGTTTAGTGTTCCCTGGGTTCACCTGCAGTACTACAAGGGAATTTAAGAATATTGATTTTAGTTATTTTAAGACTGTATTCATTTCTAACAGACTGAAAAGGACCTGTCAGAGAAGCATTCAACAGTGGTGAATGATGCATATAGGACTCTTCTGGCCCCCCTGAGCAGGGGTCTATACCTAGTAAGGTGATTTCCCAACCCTTCTATTTCCCAACCCTTCCCAACCAAGACTTCCTCTTGCTTATTGTCATATACGACAGTGGCTTCCCCTGTATTCCACAGAAGAGTGCTTAAAATTTGAGTTAACCCAAAATGCCAGTAATATTTAGCCTGAAGATACTACTTAAGTGTAGCTTTCTCTGACTTTTTTTTTTTTTTTTTTCTGGTGGAACCGGGGATTGAACTCAGACCCTTGCACTTGCTAGGGACGTGCTTATTCTGCTGAGCCATCTCCCCGGCCCCTCTCTGACTATTCTTTGTAAATCTTACTTGTCCCAGTTGTATTGTTTTAACTATGTTCTATACATTTCAAAGATTTGATGATGATATTTTTAGGTTTTATTTTGGGATATAGTTTTTTCAAGAGTATCTGAGCCCAGAAAATTTTAAAATTGAAGGGCCGGCAAAATAGCTCAGTGGAGTAAAGTGCCTGCAAGCAGGCTCAGGGGCTGGGGGTATGCTGAGACAGCATTTGAGATTGGGTGTGGTGGTGTGCGCCAGTAATCCCAGCTCTTGGGAAGCTGTAAACAGGTGGATCACTACGAGTCCAATATAGTAGTGAGACCCTGAACACCATTCCCTAAAATAGAAAGAAAAAAAAATTAACATTGGATAGTGTTTGCGAACATCAATTTCAACTTCTTAGAGGAATGATGTCCCAGGACCACACAATTTCAGGCAGCATAAAGTGGGACACTATCAGTACTCTTGTCTCTGTCCAAGCTTTTGGCAGCCTAACATCATGCTTTCATTTCTGGTACAGTAATTCCCGAGTGGTATTATATTCAGAAAGGACAACAGGTTGTACTGACTTTGGGCATAGTTTCTTGAACCAAATTTATTTTTCCTGCTCTTTGTCCTAATAGCTAAAGCTCCATGGAATAGAAATTTCTGAAGGGACAGATTATGAAATGGACAGTCAGTTCCTCATGGAGATAATGGAAATTAATGAAAAACTCGCAGAAGCTCAAAATGAAGCTGTCATAAAAGAGATTGAATCCATTGTCAGAGGTAAAAGACAAAATACCATCAGATGCATTGTGTTGCTATTATGAGTCAGGGTTAAACAAGACATGAACATAAAGACTACGTGAATATCAATCCAGGAAGTAGTTTTTTTTCTTCATCATCCTAACACCAATTTTGTCTAGAAGTTAAATTTACAGCACTTCTAATCCTAAGAAGGCAGTCTTAAACTAAGAGTATAATTAGATTTTGTGGATTGCAATGATCTTTTCTACTTATGACATCATTTAAATACTGTTAGTGGGGCCGGCCAAATAGCTCAGCAGATTAAAGCACCTGCAAGCAAGCACAGGGGCCTGGAGTTCGATCCCCAGGATCCCAGGGCTGCTGTGCTGGTCTCACCCCCGGGATGCACTGGGATGGCAGTTGAGACTGGGCGTGGTGGCGCATGCCTGTAATCCCAGCTCTTGGGAGGCTGTAAACAGGAGAATCACTACGAGTCCAATCTAATAGTGAGACCCTGAACACCCTGTAGACCCTTCCCTAAAATACAAAAAAAAAAAATACTGTTTTTATCTCTACAGGGAAATTGGGTCTCAGAAGTTTGCAAAGGGCTAGAGAGATAGCTCAGTAGAATAAGTGCTTGCCTGGCATGCACAGGGTCCTGAGTTCAATCCCTGGTACTGCAAAAAAAAAAAAGTTTGCAGAAATGTCTAACATCACACAACAGATATGCAACAGGGCAAACATTTAACTTTGATATCCTGGCTAATTATTTGTTTTCTACTTTCTTTTATAACATTTTAACCAGTTCTACAGAAAATTAATAGCATATAGAGATTTATTTTAAGGAATTAGCTCCTATGATCATATAAGCTATCACATCAAAGTGTATGGGGCAGGCCAGCAAGCTGAAAACTCAGGTCATTTTTTAATATTTTTTAAAATCTTTTATTTATTTGGTAGAGAGTCTTGCTACACAGCTCAGACTCGTAGTGATCCTCCTGTCTCAGCCTCCTCAGCACTGGGATTACAGGCATGCATCCCCATGCCAAGTTTCAGTGGCCAGCACGGCACACCCAGGGTTCTGGGACATTCATGGCATGCGGTACCCAGGATTGAACCTGGGTCCTTACACTTGCCAGGCAGGTGCTTAGACCACCAAGCTATCTCTCCAGCCCCCATGCTATAGCCTTAAATTGAATTCCCTCTCCAGTCAACTTGTAGTTATATGCACTGCTCTTACTTGATTGGATGAGGCCTGTTATTTGTGTCTAGATGTCTCCCCAAACCCTCATGCATTCATAGAGCTTTTTCAAAAGTGACTGAATCCTAGAGCGTATGATGTTGTAATTAATGATGTGTGATCAGTTCACTGATTGGTTTCATGGCACCCTAATCCCAACAGCCTAGTATTATATTAAGCTTAGTTGCTTTTGTTGTCTTTCCTCACCATGAATTGTTGCCCTTCTACCATGTCCCTGATAACTTCACATAAAGTCACTTGAGGGCTAGAAATGTAGCACAATGATAAGTGCACTTGATTAGCATGTGGAATGCCTTGGGTTTGGCTTCCAGCTTTATAAATATGTCATATATATATATATATATATATATATATATATATATGAAGTCAACCAGTTGTAAACAGCAACATCTGTAGTAGTGTGCAACAACTG